TTTAATTTTGATAAGAACTTGTAATTGTAAATTTTTTACGACAAAACCCGTGGGTACCCATGAACCCGCGGATACCCAACGGGTTGGGTTGGGTTTGAGTTTTTCAAACCCAGTGGGTTTTACCCCGGGTTTTTTTCAAAGATAAACCCATGGGTTTGGGTTTGGGTTTGGCAAAACCCGACCCAACCCGACCCATTGCCATCCCTAACCACATCCCCCGGGAAAAAGAAGAGGTGCAAAGCGAATCCTACAGATATATAGTTTTTGTTTGGTGAGGAAGATTTTTCTTTGTCCTTTCGTGATTTTATCACAAGTGAAGTTAAAAATGGTGAGAGGGATGATGGATCCCAATATGAACTTGGATGACATCGCAATAAGTAATTTTGAAAAATTCTCAAAATTAATTTCATAAAATATGACAAATACAAATTATTAGGGAGAAAAGAAAAAACTTAGAATTTCATTTGCGCGAATAATCATACCTCTTACGTGAATAAACACCAAAATAAAACATAAATAATCATCAAATAACATGAACTAACGCACAAATACGTGAATGAGATTCTGTTACTCTTTAGGTGTCACCAAACATTTCCAAATTACATATGAACAACTTTTTTCAAGGAAACAATTACATATACATGACGACGACGGTAGTGTCGGAAATGTTAGACTAAATTCTGCAACTTTGACTTGGAATTTTCCCAATATTTTCAAAACTACAAAATTCGGCTCTTAATTGGACTGGCAGTTACACAGTGGGCAAAGGCCAAAATGGATCAATGAAGTTTAAAAATGTCATTGTCAAATAGCAAAATTCATCAAATCATATGAGTTTAAGCAGTAATTGACGAACCCATCCACTGATGTGGCGTACGACGATCGATTCATGGAAAACAAGTCCAATAAGTAATAACAGCTCTCGACATTATCATATCATTACATTTCGACGATCAAACCAGAGCCATATCGTCATACCCAAACTTCGTACGACGATCGGTTCATGGAAAACAAGTCCAATAAGTAATAACAGCTCTCGACATTATCATATCATTACATTTCGACGATCAAACCAGAGCCATATCGTCATACCCAAACTTCATACTTTATCATATCTTGTACCTCAGACTTCATCTCTATCTTGTATTCTTTGCTATAGCAAAACGCTAGAAAAGTTTATCGCTAGAAGGAGGGCTTGAAAATTCATCAAATCATATGAGTTTAAGCAGTAATTAACGAACCCATCCACTGATGTGGCGTACGACGATCGGTTCATGGAAAACAAGTCCAATAAGTAATAACAGCTCTCGACATTATCATATCATTACATTTCGACGATCAAACCAGAGCCATATCGTCATACCCAAACTTCGTACGACGATCGGTTCATGGAAAACAAGTCCAATAAGTAATAACAGCTCTCGACATTATCATATCATTACATTTCGACGATCAAACCAGAGCCATATCGTCATACCCAAACTTCATACTTTATCATATCTTGTACCTCAGACTTCATCTCTATCTTGTATTCTTTGCTATAGCAAAACGCTAGAAAAGTTTATCGCTAGAAGGAGGGCTTGAAAATTCATCAAATCATATGAGTTTAAGCAGTAATTAACGAACCCATCCACTGATGTGGCGTACGACGATCGGTTCATGGAAAACAAGTCCAATAAGTAATAACAGCTCTCGACATTATCATATCATTACATTTCGACGATCAAACCAGAGCCATATCGTCATACCCAAACTTCGTACGACGATCGGTTCATGGAAAACAAGTCCAATAAGTAATAACAGCTCTCGACATTATCATATCATTACATTTCGACGATCAAACCAGAGCCATATCGTCATACCCAAACTTCATACTTTATCATATCTTGTACCTCAGACTTCATCTCTATCTTGTATTCTTTGCTATAGCAAAACGCTAGAAAATTTTATCGCTAGAAGGAGGGCTTGAACCTCCGACCTTGTGGTTAACAGCCACACGCTCTAACCAACTGAGCTATTCCAGCTTGTTTAAAAAAAAAACATCTATCAATAGCTTTAGTCAAAATACCCTGTTCAAGCCCGAACTTTGGCAAAAAAGACAACTTTGGTTTGGAATTGCAAATTTTTTTTTAGGGTAAATACTGTTTTTTGGCCAAACCTTTTTTGTTATCTAAAATTTTAGCCAAATCTATTGAATTACCAAATAATAGGCAAACGTCAAAACTCCATCCATATTCCGTTAGTAGTGCCGAGTTGGATGTTGAGGTAAGTAGCCATGTCAATACAAGTCGGACATATGTGAGCCTTTTTAGCTTTTCCACACATAAAAAGAAATGATGCTTCTACTTTCGTGTGCTTCCGCCCTCCTCCTCTCTCTACTTTTGCCCTACTCCGCCAACCGACGGAGCTCAGTTCGAGATCTGCAATCTCCTTCCCTTTCAACCTATCCATCCAATTCCGAGGATTAGTTCTCCGTCTAACCAGCTATCGTCGTCTACTCCCCTTGGGTCCTTTGCATGGTCGGATCCAAGAGGATCCAGACTTCCGGAATTCATTCACCTCCTTATCTTGATTTGATTGAGATTCCTCATTTATTCACTGGGTTAGATGATTTCAGTGTTGATTGGGATTTGTTGATGGAAGGACCCTTATTAGGTGTTGGATCGACGGCTGACACCTTCGTCATCTTCTACTCGCCGCCGCAGAGTTGGGAGACATGGAGGTGGTTGTTGTGTTAGATTGATGGTGTTGGTGTTGGTGGTGGTGGAGGTGAAAGAGGAAGTTGATGGAGAAGAGCAGAGTGGTCATTGTGTTGGGCTGATTTTTTTCACTTTCTATTTGGTTTCTTAATAATTATGAATTAAAAATAAAAGGTAGATTTATATATGACGTGGATTATACGGGACATATGAACCTACATGGCATGCTTAGGTGTAATTCCCTCAATTCTCCGTTAACAATAATGGAGCTTTGGCTACTATTTTGTAACTTTATTAAAGGTTTGGCTAATTTTTTTGTATTTTAAAAGATTTGGTTAATATTTCAAAATGTGAAAAAGGTTTGACTATAAAATAGTATTTACCCATTATTTTACACTCTGTTTATTTAGAAAGGAAAAGGAGGAAAATGAAAGATAACTAAGAAAAGTTGGGGAACTGAGGAAGTTTTCGTTGTTTCCGAAAAAATCAATAGTGCGGAAGGGAGGGAAAAGGAGGGGAACAATTGCTGTGTAACCCACCGGCTCAAGATAGGGTGCATAATTCTGAGTAACTAAATCTGGACTCTTCTTTTACTGAAGGGTTAAAGGTCGTCCTAGAAATTACTAATCGTCGTCCTAACTTAATACGTAAAGTACTTAATTACCCTTTTTAAAATTCAAAATCAAACCCTACCCAAACACTCCCCTTCCTCTACCTTCCCGTGCCCAGCAGCAGAGAGGCTGCCGACCCGCCGCCCCACGCCGGCCGACCTTCCTGTCGCCGTCAGCCGCTCCCCCGTCGCCGTCAGCCGCTTCCCAAGTCGCCGTCAGTCCTCGCCGTCCGCCGCGCCTCCACTCGCCGTCGCCGTCAGCCCCTCCTCCAGTCGCCTGCCGTCCGTCCTCGCCGGAGAAGAAGGTAAGTCTGCCGTCCTCGCCATTCACCGACCGAAGCCGCCGTTCGGTTGGCCATCGGTCAAACCGAGGTCAACGTTCGGTTGGGCCATCTGTCAAAACGAAGTTAACATTCGATTGAGCCATGGTCAAACCGAAGTCAACTTTCGGTTGGGCCATGGTCAAACCGAAGTCAACTTTCGGTTGAGCCATGGCCAATTTTCGATTGGTTTGATTTTTAATTAATTTTAATGCAATTAATTAATACAATTTTTTATTAAATATTGTAAATTAAGAAATAATTAGAAATAATTGTAGTTAATTATAAATAAGTTGTACAGTTTATAATTTATTATAAAAATTAAATTCGAATAGTTTTATGAATTCAATTATGAAAAAAATATTGTGAATAATGTAATAAAAATTATTAAAAATGATCTGAAATTTTTAAAAAGTATCAAAATTTAGAAATATAATCTGTAAATTTGTAATTAATGTTAAAAAAATATTAGAATAATGGGAAAATTAAAAAGTAGTCGAAATTAGACAAAAAGACTAAGAAAGTTGTAATTAATGTTAATAAATTATCAAAAAGTTACAAAAAAATTAGAGAAAATTATCAGAAAATGTTAATGCATTTGATTATCATTAATTGTAATTTTTTTTGAAGATGTCTGGACATGGAATAGGCAAACCGTACATGAATAAGAAAAGAATGGAAGAAAAAACGGAAGGAAGAATGGAAGGTCGTGCTTGTAGACTTACAACGACCGGTAGAAAAGAAAATGAAGACAAAAATCCACGTAAGGTTAAGGGGAAGAAGAAGAAGGCGGAAATAGGGCGTCCCGACGGTCGCCCTATTATGGGACAGTTATCTCTTAGTCGAGGTACTACCTCCAGCCCTACTCCTGAGGATGCGACGCCGTGGGAGGCTAATTGGAGTGATTCAGTTTCTATGGACGACGACGATGATGATGTGGCTGTTGATGAGGTTGGGGATGTCCCACCTGAATCTGATGTAGGCATCGGTAAGAAGAGACGAGTTGGGACATCTTCTACAGCTTCTTCACACTTTCCACCGCGTGGGCTAGATGGACGCTACGTTGCGAGACGTAGTAGTGAGGAAGACGGTGATGGTAAGAAGAGGAAGAAGGGAGTAAGGGGGGACATGTCGTGGCGTCTGACATCGGAGTCTCAGATGTGTTCAGGTGGACCTGTGATTCCCGATGTGATCCCTAGCTTTGGAGGTCACATTGCCTTTGCATTGTGGACTTCCCCAGCGCAGGATCGTGGGTTGTTGGATTGTTGTCATATATCTAGTAGTGTGGAGTCTTTGAGGAGATATGAGTGGAGTTCAGAGGGTTCTCAGAAGGTGGTTGAGGGCACAGGATTATCCCACTTGGTAGGGTGTATGATGCAGCATTTAGATACAGCTTTGATAACGGCATTTGTGGAGAGATGGCAGCCGGACACGAACACCTTCCATATGCCATTTGGAGAGATGTCGATTCTTCTCCACGACGTGCATCACATTCTTCGTATTCCAGTTGAGGGGGAGCTGATGAGAGATGATCCGCATCCAGATGTTCTTAAGTTAGACATTCATGATCTAGTTCGGGTCCCGGTGGATGGTCCTGTTGGTGGTGAGTGGAAGTCTAAGTGGTTCCTTAATGGTGGTATACACGCAGAGGGATTGTTGGTGCGTGGACGAGAAATGAAGATTAGGGACCTGGAGGTGCAGACTTACTTGTTTGTGTTGTTGGGATCCACACTTTTTGTGGATAAGAGTCGCGATCGCCTCCGTCCTGCGATCAATGTATTTCTGAAGGACCAGCGACGAGTGGCCGGTTACGCCTGGGGAGCTGCTGCACTTGCCTATCTCTATAGACAGCTAGGGATGGCCACACGAGTGGGGAGTAAGAGTATTTGTGGTTGTTTGACTCTGCTTCAGGCGTGGATATATGAGTACTTTCCACTCTTCCGTCCGAGCCAGATTCTCTAGGCTCCAGATGCTCCTCGTGCTTCCTCGTGGGTGTGTCACCGCTTTGCAGGTGGTGATGATGCTAGACAGCGCTTGGTACGGTATCGACAGATGTTGGATGAGATGTCAGGGGAAGATGTGTCTTGGACTCCTTACGGGCGAGATGCTGGCACGGAGGTACTATGCTCTTTGTATACTGGTGTCATTCGCTTTGCTGACGTTGCTGAGGGTTATGATCCTGCACGGTGTCGCCGACAGTTTGGGTACCGACAGACTATCCCCCGTACGATGATGGTTCCCAAGGATGTGTACCGCCCAGCTTCTTGCAGCACCTACATCGTTTTCTGGGAGGGTAGCATGGATCAGTTCTGGTGTTGTGGTCAAAGGTATCGAACTTCTCCTCCCTCGTCTCCTCTCCACATGCTCGAAATGAGATAGGTTTCTCGTGGTGGATGTCCTCGGGCGACCGGGTCGGGGCTGCCTCCCATGCGGCTCATAAATGCCATCATTTTCAGGATGAGGATGACTCTGAAGTAGGCCAATAGCCCCTTGAATGGTCTCATCTCCTCTATCAAGAACCTCATGTACTAGACCTTGGAAGACATCACGATGGTAAAGACTATCGTCATCCCACTCTGCCCGAGTAGAAGGTTCACGATAGTTCATAATGGTCCAAAAAGCTAACACCTCATATGGGGCAATGTCCCGCTTTTCAGAACGTGCTAACTGCATTGCACATCTACATGGGAGACCAAAGATAGCAGGAAACGTACATCGGTACATGTACAACTTGCTCCTTCCACTGATACCTCAATGAGCATCAACCTCATAGCCTGTAGAGTGACGTTTGTATGCAACTCCCGAAATGGTCTTCCGTACGCTAGTAACATCTTCTTTAATCTAGAATCCTCTAAAAGCTTTTGGATTTGAAGATGTTGAGCCTTAATGTAATCATGGTTCTTCTTATAAACCTACAAACAAAGAAAGAAAATTAGGATACTAGATTAAGTAAAACTTCTAAAGAAGACATAAATGAAAATTTATTAAGAGACTAACCGTGTCGATTGCACCAGTTGCTGATTGAAGCCACTTCTTGAAGGATGAATGAGCAGATTCAACCCGATTTGAGCTTGTATTACCCAAATGTCGCACTTGGTTTGTATAACATGTTGTCCACATGTGCTTGTTTGGTAACGACTCATTTGACAAGTACCTCCAAAGACGTGGATACTGTACTCCCCAACTACGCCTGAAACTGTCTAAAGCTCTATTCATGCCTTCCTCACTGCCGGCATATACAATCCTTTTCCAAGACGCCATGATCAGATCCACTGTCGGTTGGGCTGCATCTATCCCACAATGAGACGTCCTCCTCACCTCCGTTAGACACCGTGCTCTCACATTCCTGTCTACATGCCAAATGCATCGTATATGAGTCGATGATGGAAACATTACCCCCACGGTCTCAACCAATCCTCCTGCTTAGTCACTAACAAATACATCTGGAGTGATAGAGCCAAGCAAATGTTGCAGATGCATGAGAAGCCACTGGTACGATTCTTTTTTTCTCGTCATACACTAGCGCAGATGCAATGACAAAGTTCAATCCCACCGGTGTCATGCCAACAATCTCAACCCATGGAAACTCATACTTGTTGGTCTTGTATTTTGCATCTATCACAATGACATGGTGCCAAGCTCGCAACATCAATATTGACTCAGGGTGGGCTAGGAACAAGTATGTAAGCACGTTACGGTCATCCACATACTGCACATAGTAATCCTTCTCCCGAGCATCTTGAAAAGTGTATTGTAAGGCCGTCCTCTGACCAAGCTCTTCTTTTCTTATCTTATACAATGCGTTAGAAATCTGTCTTTTGTTCACCTTTCCATGCTCTTCTTTTCTCTCGTTCACTGCCTTGTGGATATTCCTTGGGGCGACACCGGCTAATCTCAGTTGTCTGATGTATTGCTTATCATCTTCGGTCAAAACATTCCTCTTACTTGATCCATTCGAAAATATCTCCAGCGGATGATTGTGAAAACCCAAATTAGCACCAGGATTCTTTGTATTAGCCACTGCTAGTATCAACCAATATCCATCATCTGACCGCTCAATCTTGATCTGAAATTCACACCCCAACTTTCCAGAAGAAGTAAGAGGCCTCCTTTCCTTAGCCGGATCAGAATCAGGAGCCTTCGATTTTTTCTTCCTACCATGAGTGCACTTCAAGTATCGTCACCTACTATCTTCACTTGGATTTTTTTTTTATTTGATGCCTTCACCGAATAAAACCCAAAACCCTTGGCAATCTCAGTAGCTGCTGCATATGCAATCAAATCTGTATCGTATTTTACTCCATTAACGAATTCTGAGGTGTAATCTTTGCCATCCCCTCTGTAATCATCAATATCCTACAATGTTAGATCTCATGATATAAGTAGGACTCCACAATAATAGAAAATCTAACGACTACATTTAATTTAACAATTATCACAAATAATTTAGCATTCTCTATATTATCCTAAGCAAAATCCAACATTTAACGTGACAAAATTTAGCATTCTCTATTATTTACATAAGAATCAAATTAATCACATTCTAGAATTTTTTTATTGCGTATTATACATCTAACTTAATTTTGTATAAAAACATTCAATTTCACAAATAATTAGGCTCATAAATTTTAAAAATAATATAAACTAAAATTCAACAAAAAATCTTATAGACCAAACTATAAATCATAACAAAAAAATAGAAATATTTGATATAAACTTAAAAAAACCCAAAAGCCACCAACAGAAGCAAATTTTCGGTTCCACCATGGCTAAACCGAAGCCCATTTTCGGTTTCACCATGGCTTAACTGAAGGAAGGGTTCGGTTCTACCGTGGACCAACCGAAACCAAATTTCGTTTCACCCATGGCCCAAACGAAGCAGATTTTCGCTTCATCCATGGCTTCGGTTGAACCATGGACCAACCAAAAATCACATTCGGTTGAGAATTTTTGGTTTTTTTTTTAAACGAGATTTTTACCTCGTCGGAGTCGCTACTCATTGTTCGGACGTATGCTCGACGATTTCGGCTTCCAAATGTCGATGATGAATTCGAGAGTGTGGGAGAATGAGTGTTTTTTTGCTTTCTAAGTGTAGGTGGTGTTTGTTTGCTAAAGGAAAGGTAAAAATGTTAAAAGGTTAAAAGTGTAACTTTGTTATTTTTTAGGACGATCATTAGTAATTGTTAGGACGACCTTTATCAACTCCCTTCTTTTAAGTGGCTCCAGATCTAAGAGTGGAGAACTAAAGAAATTTATTTTCCCTAGTTTTCTTGATTAGATCATATCTTCTTCATTCTAACTCTGATTTCAATTTTTTTTTTGCACAGATGGAACGAGTTTGTTGTGCTCTACAAAAGGACATCCATTTTCAATATTTTTTGAGAAAAAATATTCATACCTCTCGCTACCAACTCCATACCATATGGTATCTCTTTCGTTTTTTAGTCGTGATCGAAAATTTTTGAACATAAGGAACGATTTAATCATGATCTATCGGATTTCAAATTTTTCTGGGTGAAAAAAATTCCATACCTCTCGTTACCAACTCCATACCATACTATACCATCCTGGTATGGGGTGGTATTTTTCATACCATATGATATGCTATTATTTAATACCAGTCAATATTATATGGTACAGTCAATACCATATGGTATATTGGTATAGACTGGTAATAATTGACAAATTTTTTTTGTTCCAAAAAATATCAAAGTGGTTATCATTTTGAAGAGCACAATTAATCTAATCTAACTGTGCAAAAAAAATTAAATTTCGAGTTAAAACGAGTGAGAAATCGTCCGTTAAAGATTAAGGGAAGAAAAATTAAAGGTTTTTCGAGGAGAGAAAATGAGACACTGATGTGCCGGATTCTTATTGGGTTATGCATGGGGTTATAGCACCACAAGGTTACTCACCAAATCTGCTCTTACACACCCCTCCTATTCGGAGAGAAAATCAAAAGTGGAGTTTTTGTTTTTAATTTACATTATCTCTTTGCTCTCTTTTGCTTCTTCTTCGTCCTTCTTATCATCCTGCTTTTATCCTTTTCTTCAATTTGCATAATCTCTTTGCTTTATTTTTCTTCTTCTTCGTTCTTCTTCTCGTCCTTGTCCAGAGTCAAAATCCAGAAAAGAAATCAAAGAAACTGATGTAAAAAAAAACACCAAGTACAATTAAACTCACATAATCTTACCGGAGAAGACCGAGCCTTTGATTGTTGGGTTTCTCGTTTTCCGTCGACGAGATCGAGAACGTCGACGACCCTCGTACTTCTACCCGCCTTCGATTGAGATCAGAATTCTAGTAACAAAACGAGACATAAAAGGGATTACAGTTACTAAAAACGAAATCGAAAGTAAAAACAACAACATGAATGTCCCAAAACTTGCCGGATTTAAGACTCCATCGCCGCGCTATTGACGAGAAGGGAAAGAAGAAAGGTCGAAGGGAAGAGTGTAATAGGATCTTTTCTTTCCATTAGCTCGAGAAGAGTTGAAGGATGAAGATGAGAAAGGTTTGAGAGAGAAAGAGATTTGAGAAGGATTTTTGTCTATGCTTCTGTTGCTTGTTTGCAGAAGATGGGTAAAGAGAGTGAGTGAGGATGTGGACGGCTGAAGAAGAAAGAGACGATGGAAAGGGGTTTTCTCCCGAATTAGGGTAGTAATTGGGGTACGGTTATTAATTTATTGGCAAGTTAAAGAGGAGAAGGAAATTATGATAGTACTTGGTAATTTAATTTGATTATTTTGTTGAATTATCCAATTAGTGTAACATAAGAACTTTATATTTTTTTAGGGTAAATACTAACAAAAATTAAAACAGAAATTGATCGCCAACGTGGATGCCAATTTAACATCATCATGCTTAGTTTTTTTTTTATGGTCTTCATTGTTCAAATTAATTAAATTAATACTTACATAGGTCTTTCATTAATTAGGCATTGAGAGATTTGAGTGTATTATCAAGGATTACGAAACCGAACCGAAGGTTATGGCAGGAAAGTAGGATATTTTGTACTAAAATCGTGGATTAACTATAGTTCCATCATTTTCTACGGATGAAATTGCCTACTGTTTTGGGATTGATATTCGATATTTCTGGTCCAGCCGGTACGATTGTGTTTATAAAACATTGTTTAATATAAGTTGAATAAATTTTAATTTAATTAGAATGCTTGATCAATTATTATAAAGTCTCTATTTTTAAATAACTGATGTGGTTAAATCACGGTTTTAAAACAAAATACTCAGCCACTAATTTGTCTAGTACAATCTCTAGTGCGATTTAGGAAGACAATACAAATTTAATTCACAATTCAGAAGTTAATATTACATACAATCAAATTATTTTACTATTATATAACCAATAAAATAACATAT